CTATTCACATAGTTCCTTATGTTTGGAGCACAGGCTCCCATTTTGGGGCTACAGATCCCTGCGAGAACACAAACTGCAATTCCTGTGTCGTTTTCACAATCAGTGGAAACTAGGAGGACACCTGCTGTCTTTTGCGGGTCCTCCAAACGTTGCTTGACCTTAAAAAGAGATGTTCATATTTGAAATCACTGATTTGGACACAAGGGAACAGAAACTAAGCTGGAGACATCTTTTAAAATCCACATTCCTAGGCCTTGCTGCTGTTGGAAATAGAAGCTCGGTGCCGCAAAGAAAAATTAGCACTGAGACAAAGGTTCTTTTCAGCAACACAATTTTTACTTCCTGAACTGCAGGAAGGCTACCCTCACTAAGTACGGTGTCACAAGAGTACAGTGAACAAAGGAAAACGTACAGATTTATCCCTTACACATTTGGGGTCATCCTTACTGCTGTGTCTGATCTCTGTTGGCTGGAGCCAGACCTCAGAATTTAAACTAAAACCTGATTGGCTAATAAAACTTTTCTAAACAGTTAAAAGCACTGGGGAGTTGGGACTTACCTGGGAGCATGTCCAGCACAGATATTTTGATTAAAGTACAAGGATGTAGAATGTACTATGTGCGTGTAAGCATGGCATGTCTAACAGCTACATAGGATAGGGCTTAACAAAGAGTTATTAGCACACTTGTGATTTATTCTTTAACAAGAAAGGAAACTTTAAAAAGGAACTGTTTTACTACTCTCACTGCCAATAAGCATCAGTCTTGATTTTTTAAAAGGTGATTTTAAAAAGATGATTGCGATGTGCATAGGTTGGGAACCATTGGAAAGCACCCACGATGTGTTGACCTGGCAACTCAGCAAAAGCCAGTAAGGAGCCTGGATGGGTTCGTCAGAAGTTCATGTGCCCCTTCCTTGTAAGCCAAAAATAAAACTCTGAGGCCTCCCAACCGTCAGAATGGACACCTCCTCTCTGCCAAGGGCGTTCCAGAGTTAACATCTAGTTGAGGCCATGATGGAAGAGGGAGTCAGACCTCAGTACATCCCTCCAGAATTAGCATCAGCTCGGACCTGAAGTCTGTAGAAACATTACAGTCTGTTCTCTCTGAAGCCGGCTACTTGGAGGCTTCACATGCGTAATAAAGCTTTGGTCTTAAAACGTGGAAAGTAAATCCCTTTCTACTGATAATAACTCTTTCAACCAATTGCCAATCAGAAAAATTTTAAATCTACCTATCACCTGGAAGCACCGTCTCTCCTTCGAGCCATCCCGCCCTTCCAGATGGAACCAATGTCAATCCTACATGTATTGACTGATGTAATATGCAGCCCTAAAATGTTTAAAAGCAAGCTGTACCCTGACCAGCTTGGCGACATGTCCTCAGGACCTCCTGAGAGTGTGTCGCGGGTACTCCTCAGCTTTGGCAAAATAAACTTTCTTAATTGACTGAGACCTGTTTCAGATATTTTGGGTTCATACCCTCATGAAACAAGGAGAGAATACCCCAACACATACAATGAAGTCCTAAATGGTGTGATTTCTTTGGTAATGGCTTTGCTAAGGGCAGCCACTGTTGTAAATGGGGCAGGGTGTGGGAGGGGGTGTTGGATGTTTGGTGGGTTATAAGATGACCTTATAGAGGGGGAAAGGACAAGGAAACAGGTTAAATATGCCTTATTTAACACAGCATTTCTGAGTTCTGATGCTTCCCAAGCACTGTGTAGTGAGAAGGTAAGCATGGAGGATGGACCCCAACTCTGCTGGGGTCCATCAGGAAGGTTCACAAAAGAGCGGACTCCCTGAGCTCTATCTTAAATAGAATTTGTCCATCATAATCGGTTGGATGGGGCCAGGAGGAATGTCCAGGTTGGGGAACAACCCTTTGGAAAAGAATGGAGATGAGAAGGAGCACGGCCCAAAGTTCCACGCCACCTTGGGATGGGCGTGGCAGCATGGGAGGGGACAGGAGTTAGAGCAGGGGCCAGCCTCTGAAGGATCTTGTGTGTTAAGTACCACTTGGGAATTTGTTCTAGGGAAACTGAAGGGCACTGAAGAGTTTAATAAAAGAAGTGGCATGAGCTGGCAAGCTCATGGAGAAATGGTTAGCAGGGCCACTGGGAGGGGGCAGGGTGAGTTGCTGGCAGCTATTGGGACAGTCCTGGTTGGGAGCACTGAGGCCTTTAAACAGATCACAGGGATGAAAGTGGCTACAGTCAGGTGATGGTCAGAGATACATGCTTCTACATCAAGAGGACAGGAATGATAACATCTGATCTTCCAACCGCAAAGATGTGGGTCATTTAATCAGGGGGAAGATGACTTCCAACTTCCTGTTTTAGTGGTTAGGGATGGAGCCAGGGCTCTGAAACTGGGGATGCAGGAGGAAGGGTGTGCAGGAGGGGCATGGATGAGTGCAATGGGGACCAAATTCTGCAACCTCAACAGTTCATGGGACTCTGAGAAGGAGCCACCAGAAAAATGCAATAGAAGCCCAGGAGAAGGAGTATTTCCAGAAGGGAGTCCTAAACTGTGCTACCAAGAGAGGGAGGGAAGAGGATGAGGGAGGACAAAAGGACTGGGGAAAGTGGTGGAAGGATTAGGGAGGCATGGGTGGCTGGAGGAAGACGAGGACAGAGGGAGGTGTGGGAGGAAGAGGGGGTGGGGGAGTTGGGGAAAGATATGGGGACAGGGTGGAGGAGGTGGTGGGAGGATAAGAGGAGGATGGAGGGGATTGAGGGAAACAACTGGAGGCTGAGCAAAGATGAGGTTGGTGGGGTGGGAAGGGTAGGGGTTGCTGGGGGAGGCAGCCTTGTATTTCCATAGGACAAATTTGGTACTCTTTTAACCCCTTCAGTGGCCTTCCATTTCCCTAGAACTAATTCCCAAATGGCACTTAACACTGAAGGCTCTTCAGAGGCTGGCCCCTGCTTCATCTACTGTCCCCTCCCATGCTGCCACCCCAGCCCCAAGGCTGGCAAATATTTACAGTTCCTGGAACTTTGGGCCAACCTCCTTCTCATCTCTCTTCTTTCCCAAAGCAGTGTTGTTCCCCCACCTGGACATTCTTCCCAGCCCCATCCAACTGACTGTGATGGATAAACTCTACTTCAGATACAGCTTGTTGGCAGGGGGCCCTCTTTTGTGCATCTTTCTAGTGGACCCCAAGCAGAGTTGGTCATTCCATCCTCCATGCTTACCTTCTCACTGCGCAGCGCCTCGGACGTGGTCAGGACTCAGAAAGGCTGTGTTAAATAAGGCACACTTAACCTGTTTCCTTGTCCTCTACTCTAAGGTTGACTTCATCCTTATATCCTACTGACAGGGTTTGGCTCTGTGTCCCCACCCAAATCTCATCTCGACTTGTATTCCCCATAATCCCCTTGTGTCAAGGGAGGCACTTGGTGGGTGGTGATTGGATCATGGCATCGGTTTCCCCGTGCTGTTCTTGTGATAGTGAGTGAATTCTCATGAGATCTGTTAGATGTATAAGGGGCTTTTCTCCCTTTTGCTCTGCACTTCTCTTCCTGCAGCCATGTAAAGAATGATATATTTGCTTCCCTTTCTGCTATGATTGTAAGTTTCCTGAGACTTCCCCTGCCATGCAGAACTATGAGTCAATTATACTGCTTTTCTTTATAAATTACCCTGTCTCAGGCAGTTCTTTATAGCAGTGTGAAAACAGACTAATACACCTACCACACTTCCAACCCCCCACCCCTGACCCATCCTCCCATGTTTACAACAGTGGCTGGCCTTAGCAAGCCGTTATTGAAGAACTCACACCATTTAGGACTTCACTGTACCCGGTGAGGTATTCACTCCTTGTTTCATGAGGAACACACCAACTTCTTTTTTTTTTTTAGACAGGGTCTCTGTTGCCCCGGCTGGAGTGCAGTGGTGTGATCTCAGCTCACTGCAGCTTTGAACTCCTGGGCTCAAGAGATCCTCTCACCTCTGCTTCCTAAGTAGCTGGGACTACAGGTGTGCAGCACCACACCCGGCTAAGTTTTGTATTTTGTGTGTGTGTGTGTATATATATATATATATATATATTTTTTTTTTTTTTTTTTTTTTGAGACGGAGTTTCGCTCTTGTTACCAGGCTGGAGTGCAATGGCATGATCTCGGCTCACCGCAACCTCCGCCTCCTGGGTTCAGGCAATTCTCCTGCCTCAGCCTCCCGAGTAGCTGGGATTACAGGCACGTGCCACCATGCCCAGCTAATTTTTGTATTTATAGTAGAGACGGGGTTTCACCATGTTGACCAGGATGGTCTTGATCTCTTGACCTTGTGATCCACCCGCCTCGGCTTCCCAAAGTGCTGGGATTACAGGCGTGAGCCACCGCGCCTGGCTATATATATATTTTAAGAGATGTGGTATCTCCATGTTGTCCAGGTTGTTTTCAAACTCCTGAGCACAAGGCATCCCCCTGTCCTGGCCTCCCAAAGTGCTGGGGTTACAGGTGTAAGACCGTGTACCCAGCCCACACCAACTTCTGATGAAGCCAGGCTCCTTATTGGCTTTTTCCTGAGTTGCCAGGTTGACACATCAGTGGGTGCTTTTCGATGGTTCCCAACCTATGCACGTCGTAATCATCCGTGGATCTTTTAAAAAATCCAGACTGACGCTTGTTGGCAGCAAGGCCTAGGAATGTGGAGGCTGAAGGAGTGAGGGGAGGAGGTGGGAGCCTTGGAAGGCCAGGAATGTAAACCACAGGCTCTGTGGAAGGCGGAGGTCTTACCCGGAAGAAGGCTGCTAAGCAGGCTTTCATGTCTCATGAGTGTGCAGTGTCTTCTGAAGTTATAATTATTTCTCTGAAGAAGCTTGATTGTAATGGCAAATAGAGATCATAAATTAACTGTAATGAGGGTGACATTGACAGAGAAAAACCTTGTCCCGGGTGTCCCTGCCCCACGGCCCCTCCTGCCCCGCCTGCTCTACGCCCCTCCCCTCCACGCCCAGGGAGCGTGGCTACCCGGAGCCCCGCCCCTGCCCCAGGCCACGTGATCGGTCAGTTCGCTGAGAGGGAAGAATATGGCTGCCGGGTGTGGTGAGGGCGACGCGCTTGCAGTCGCTGTCTCTTGCTTTCCCGTCCTCTGACACCGCCTGCAGCCGAGCGGGCCGGTTCCGCCCGAGCTGAGGACCAGGTTGTGAGTCGGTCAGTGTGGAGGCCGGCTCGCGGGGCTTTGCCGCGGATGTGGGGGAGGCGGGGCCGAGGCCGGGCTGGGGAGCCGGGTGGGTAGGTGGGACAGCCGGGGAGCGCGCGGGAGGGGCGCGCTGTGGCCGCGGGCCTCGGGTAGGGCCTGGCGCGGGCCCGGGACGCTCGGGCCCCGGCTTTCGGGCCGAGTCCGCGTTTGCTCGAGCGCCTGGAAGGTCTTCGGCTTTGGAATCTCAGGTGTTTTGTCTCCTCAGGGACCCGTAGGATGGGCTGAGGTTAAGGGTGTTGGTAAAATCGTTTTTCTTTTTTCTTTTGCCAGGCAGCCTCTAGTGCATCCACCACCTCGAGAATCCCCCTCAGCTGGTACCGCTAGTCGTTATGGGTTTCTCTTCCTAGGCTTCCCTGGGCCGGGAGGTATTGTTTTCTCCCTCGCGGTCATCGTGGACTCCATTGCTCCATTGTCCTGTGCAGGCTTTTAAACGCCTTGACAACATGGTGCAAGCCATTGATTTCCGTGCTTTCAAGATTTATTTATAGGACAGTCGTTTCTTCACTCTGTAATCTTGGAATTTTTATTCTTTCAAGTCGGTAGGTTTAAACAGATGAAGATTTTTTTAATTAATAACTATGCAGTCATCTCTGCTCCCTATGGGCACGTGTTAAAAATGTAGATTTCTTAGCGTTTGAGAGATTCTCATTTTTTCGGCTAGAGGTGTGGCTCGGGAATCACCCCTTGAGTTTCATTCCTGTCCACATTTTGACAACACTGAGGACCAGACGTCTACACCGTTTTAAACCACCGTGGGTATTGCGTGCAGAGCCCGGGTTGGGAAATGCTGTGGCCAGGTGTGTTCTTTGTTCTCTTTGGCTCTACTCGCCTGGACTACTTTCATCATAATCATTTTGGGGTGCTTGTTAAAATGTCCGTTTCTGAGCACCGCCCCAAATCTAGGGAATGGGATTCTCTCGGGGAGGAGCTTAAGGGATATGTGTATTTGACAAGCTTCCCTATTAATTCTGATGCACATAAGTTTGAGAATCTTTGTTCTATACCCTTTATGTGAATGATTTCCAGATCTTTCACACACAGTGTGAACCATATATTTTTCCAAGTATTGGGTGGGTTTCTCAACCTAGCTCTTCTGGGGCATTTCAAATTCAGCCTAAGCACCCTATAGCCCCCTTCACCTAGCTGGGGTGGTGGGAGGGGGAGGCATAACTAAAGTAGAGAAAGGTCTCCTGCTCTTTTTTTTAATTTTTTTTGTTAAGGGCCGCTCCATTCTTCAGTCACCTCTGCTGGTCATCTGGTCATCTTCCACCTGTTCTTTCTTTTCCAATCTGTCACATGGTTAGTTTTTATATCCAGAATATCTCTTCTGGATATTTTGGTAGGTCAGAAAGTTTAAATATTGGGGATTTTATATTTTCGAGTTAGTATCTCTCGTTTCTTCTCCATTCCCACTGCCTCTTCTGTGTGCTATTTCGGTGGTTCTTCAGCTGGTATCTAGGGCCCTGATTCTTTGTTTTTCCAGTCTGGGTCACATACACTGCCAGGAGACTTATTTTTATAGGATCATGTATGAATGTGCCATCCCCTTCTTCCTGCTTTTGCTGAAGAACTGTCAGTTTCTCCATTTTATGTGCTACTGTATTAGTCAGGGCTGCTTACAAGTCAAAGAACAGAAACTTAATCTTTTACTTCAAGGAAAAGGAGATTATAGGATTGAACGAGGGTCAGAAGGAAGTCAGGAAGTCGCGGTGGCTCAAGCCTGTAATCCCAGCACTTTGGGAGGCCGAGGCAGGTGGATCACGAGGTCAAGAGATCGAGACCATCCTGGTCACCATTGTGAAACCCCATCTCTACTAAAAATACAAAAAATTTGCTGGGCATGGTGGCACGTGCCTGTAATCCCAGCTACTCGGGAGGCTGAGGCAGGAGAATTACCTGAACCCAGGAGGCAGAGGTTGCGGTGAGCCGAGATCGCGCCATTGCACTCCAGCCTGGGTAACAAGAGCGAAACTCCGTCTCAAAAAAAAAAAAGAAGTCAGGATCCCAAGTGGCTCCATTTTCTACATCTCCCTGGGGCAACTTTTTTTTGAGACCGGGTCTGGTAGTGTTGCCCAGGCTGGAGTGCCGTGATGTGATCTTGGTTCACTGCAGCCCTGACCTCCTCCTAGGGGCCATATTTGTTCTCTTAGGCAGAGTCCCTTTTCTGTTCATGTCTGTTGTGTTCTCTCTTTGCGACTGACTGTCTCAGAACTGTATCATTTTATAGGTGACCCATATTCGCTGACTCAGTTTCTGGTTTCTAATTCCCAGTTCTAGAGAGAGAGAAGTCTGATTGGCCCAGCTTATCTTTTTCAACAGTTTAATGCCATGGATCATAATATGCCCATCCCTGGGGATGGCTGATGGTAGAGAACGTGGCCATTGAGGGAACAGGAGCTGTGAGTGGGCAAAGTCCTCCAGAAGAGGCATCTTTAGTAAACCTATGCAGTTACTCAATTTGACAGTTTTCTATTACGTTTCTACTTGATCTAGATTTGTAATAGGTTCTGGGGATATAAGAATGAAGGAGAGAGAAAGCCCTTTGTAAATTAGTTTGAGGCCAGGCATGCTGGCTCACACCTGTAATCTCAGTGTTTTGGGAGGCCAAGGCAGGAGGATCACTTGAGGCTGGGAGTTCAAGAGCAGCCTTGGCAATATAGCAAGACCTGTCTCTACAAATACTAAAAATATAAACAATTACCTGGGCATGTTGGCGTGTACCTCTAGTCCCAGGTACTCAGGGAGGCTGAGGCAGAAGGAGCACTTGAGTCCAGAAGTTTGAGGCTGCATTGAACTGTGAATGTGCCACTGCACTCCATCCTGGGCAATAGAGCCAGACCCCGTCTCAATAAAAATCAGTACACACACACACACACACACACACACACATGAGTTAGTTTAAAGGTGACCTGTGAGTGGGGTTTTGAAGGATATGTTTTGGCTCGTTAAGAATGTTAAAGTTGGGTCCAGCATTCCAGGTAGTTAGGTGAGCTTGGGCATGCCCATTCATTCGACTGATACTGGGTTCTGTGGTGTACCAGGCACTTCTCTAAGTGCTGGAGATTCAGCAGTGAAAAAAACAGAGATAGTCTTTATTCTCACTGAGCTGCATTTGTTTGGCTGGGGGAAGCAGACCAAAAACAAAGTATGTGGTATGTGGAGTGATGCTAGGTGCTATAAAGAAGACCTGTGAAGTAGGGCTGTGGAACGGGGAGATAGTAGGCAGGGAGAGGGCTGTTTATACATGTTGGTCAGGGAAGCTCTGATCAGGTGACATATGTACAGAAACTCATTGTGGCCTGAGCAGAGTCAAGGAGAAGGAGCAGGAAGAGTTGAGCTGAGGGAGGTGGGGAAGGGGTGGAATACATCAAGCAGGGCCTTGTCCGCCGTGGTAGGGATCTGGGATTTTATTTTGAGTGAGAGGACAGCTTTTGGGGTGTTTTGAGCACAGAATGATTATAAGAAGACATGATTCAGGAGGACCACTTAGGTCTCTGTGTGAAGGGGGCAAGGGCTGCCACCCAGGTCCAGGAATGTCAGCGTTAGGGGAGGCTCTGGGGACTGCATAGGGATTATTGTCCCTGGAGACTTAAGTGGGAGGAGGGGAGGAGCTGGGGATAGAAGAACCATGGGAGGGGCCACATTCAGGAACTATTGTGTCTATCTGGAGGATGTGAAAGAAGTAAGCATTGGGCAACACGGCCGCTATTGTTGCTTTCCCTGTACTGTGTCTGTGATGGGAGAAAAGTTGTAGGGTGCATCTATTAACTGATTGGCCTTTTAGTGAAAGAATTTGAATACATTTAAAAATTTTGCCTATTACATTGGCAAGTTCTAAAAATGAGCTTACTACAATATAAATTTTTTGTTCTGACATTGCTGTTGGCTACATCTGCCATCTTCAAAACTGGTGTCGAGACATTAATTTTTTTGCTAACCACGTGAAAGAATATATAGTCTTATATTCCCGTTACACAGAAATGCTGTGGACAATAGATTCAACTGATGTTCATTTATTCAAGAAATATAGTGTCTTGTATGGGACAGCTGTTATGCTAAGTGTTGGGTATTTGGTACAGAATAAAAGAAAATAATCCATTCTTCTTAAAAGCTTATATCCTAGTGGGAGAGACAGCTATTAAACAGGTAATTATGTCCCATTCCAGCAGGTGCAGCCAAAAAAAAAACAAAGACAGAGTAAACAGGTAAATATGTAAATTACAAGTTTAATAAAATGTTATGAAGGAATAAAAAGGATTCCATGATAGGGAACAATCCAGGTTAGGAGAATCTATCAAGAAATGATCATATGCTGTTATTATGTAAAACAGCTAATATTTATTGGCTTCATATGGGTTAGGCACTGTTTTAATCCCATTGTGTGTAAGTGTGCAGTTATTTGAAGATGGGGAATCTCAGACACCGAAGTGAAGAAACCAGCCCAAGGAGATGGGGGTGATAGAGAGAGGCTGGTTAAGTACAGACATGCAGTCAGGTGGAAGGAATACGTTCCCGTGTCCATCCGCACAGTGCTATGCTTAACAGTTTATTGTACATTTTATTTTTTATTGTAGTTTGAAAATGGCTAGAGGTAAGATTTGAGATGTTCCCAGGACAAAGAGATGATAAGTGTTTGAGGTGATGAACATCCTAAATACCCTGATTTGATCATTACACATCACATGCACGTTTCCAGATACTCCACATGCCCGTAAATAGTAGAGTTGTTACGTATCAGTTAAAAAGTTAAAGAAGAAAAAAACTAGCTTGAGATGGTATAATGATCAATAGTACAGCCAGGAGTCACGCCAAGGCAGTTTGGCTCTAGGGTTTATGCTTCTGACCACTAGACTGAGCTTCCCTTTAAGACGAAAGGCCTTTTTAAAGTGAACATTGACACTGAAATGTGAAAGACAAGAAGCTGTAGTTTTTTTTCCTGTGATGAAACTTT